AATAAATTTCGGTGGTAAATCATATTCAACACGTTTTGTTGCTATTTGTAAATTTTTACTTTTGGTTAACCAAAGTTTCATTTTCGGTTTTAACATTGAATGAATATTCCATTGTAAAGGACTAGCTATTTGTTGAAAGTCTTATAAAGCTTTGAATTCTTCCATTTGAGCTTTAGCTAATTGAATACGATTTTCAGCTATTCGTTTCACATGTTGTGTACAATGTTGAATATATCTTAAAATAGATTTTTCTAATCGATCACGATTGGTCGCTGTTGTTGAATTGGGATTTTGAACGGTTTGGTCAGTAGTTTGTGTCGCTGTTTGACCCATACGTTCGAGCATTAATTGTGTAGTTAATTCGGCAGTGGTTTGTGCATTCGTTTGAGCAGTTGATTGAGCTACAGTTTGTGTCCAATAGGTGCCTAGTTGAATTTGTAAATCTGTAACAGCGGCATTGGCTTGAGCAATCATGGTCGTTAGATAGTTAATCTTCTTCTGAACAAATCGACTATTGGTTAGATCATCACGTCGTTTTGTACGCTGAACAACTTCTTTTTGCCCAATGTCTGTTTTCATTGCCCATTTTCAAATATGCTTGCCAAACTTGTAATTCATAATTGTTTCGAACCCATTCATCATAAATTGGAGTTGTTGCTAATACATATGCTTGATTACCGCGACCACTAATTGAACTTTTCGAATTGTCTTCGAACCATTTCAGTATTCGATTTGTTTGAAAGTATAGTCGAATTCTCTTTTTCTTGTCAATTCTTTTATTTGTATCCATAATATTAGTTGCAGGTCCATTATTTATAGTTGTTTGAGCATCTATTTGATCACTGGTATCGTCTCCAGCAAGTGCAACAAACCGATTTGGATTACATATGATGGGGAATAAGAATTTGTAGCAAAATGAATTTGAATAAAACAAATGAATTTGCAGAAAAATCTGAACTGTATTTAGAAAGCAGTGGTATTGGCCATTTCGGTGTTCTAGATGATTTTGGTGGTCTTGGCGGTTTTGGTGGTCTTGGTGGTCTTGGTGGTCTTGGTGGTCTTGGTGGTCTTGGTGGTCTTGGCGGTCTTGGTGGTCTTGGTGGTCTTGGTGGTCTTGGCGGTCTTGGCGGTTTTAGTGGTCTTGGTGGCTTTGGTGGTCTTGGCGGTTTTGGTGGTCTTGACCTTCCTGGTTGAAGTTTTTGAATATTCAAAAAAACCATATGATTTTCTCATTCGAAGTTAAGCGAAATCAGTATATTATGGCTTGACCTTTTGGCACAACCTTAATCAACATAACAGTATCATTATAAACTCAGGTTATTCTAACGAATTGTCGATTCAAAAACTCATGATGTACAGCGACATCTTTTTTCGGTGTTCCAGATGTCCAATTTTTGTTTAGTGCGAAGCTTTTTAGAAGAGTAATTGGAAATCCTAATGATTTCGAACGATCAAAGACGATCTCGATACAAAGCATTTCACATCTGTTTCAGTTGGTTCAATTAATTAAACAAACATTTATTGAAGCATGTAAGCTTCTTTAGACAATCCTGTTCAAGTTGTCTTTGTGTGTGACGGTATATCGAATAAGTTGTTCTCGTTTTCGTCTAGAAAGTTCGCGACTGAAATGGCGAGGTCATTTGGATTGTTCGATAGAATTCTCTCTGCATGCGTTGTCACACTGAACATCTCTTTGTCTTCATTCCTTCTCGAAGCTTCTCGATTCATATTACGAGGTAATGTCTGTTGTTTGCCGAAGTGGTCTCTTTGTCATTCATCTCATATAAGTACCGCTGTTTTCCGACGATTTGATTTCATTCTCTAGTCACCAAATTCTCTTCGATAATATCTTTTCTCGTGGCTTATATCTTTTTTTCTCTTTTTCTTATAATATCATTCTTTTTCATTATCCATGATCAATAAATATGGCAAATTACCGATCATCCACCCATCCAATCGCAGCTGATTTTTCAGCCGTTTTACAAAGAAATTTCGACCAGTTAAACTCTCTTCCTTCATTCAACGTCGATTTTATCGATGAAGATGAAGATTGGTATTTACATTGCTTCCTAAAAGAACAGCAACGCAATGGACATTCATTCGAAATAACGCTCTCAGCGTTGAGCTCAATCGTTGGCACATTATCCGAATATTCCTCTTTCGTCAATCCGATCAACAATACAATGGGATATCTCAATCAGAACCATCATATTATTGGAGAGAGTGGTAAGTATTTTTTTATATCATGTCGAGCGTAAATTCTATCTGGTGTATAAGAAACAAACGTGTCAAACAACCATCGTGTAATCGATCGAAAGTGATAGATTTTCCATCATTGATTGTTTGAGCGGATGATGTCTAATGGCCATTTGCGAATTGTTCAGAAGAAATAAATTTCTAAGAGCGAAACTAGTAGAACCTGTGTTTTTTGTTTTAGCCTCGAACAAAAGTTCCATTTGTAATGAAATTGGGCTGGCATTACACAATGTGACCGAACTGTTCCCTGGAAAGTATTCGTCTTCAAACCAATATTCCGATGAAAATGCAAACATCGTTACGAATGGTAATCAGAACCAACCAAAAAGCAAAACAAAATCAAATGAAATGGATTACAACTTGGTTCTATCAAATGTTACAGAAGTGGGGCTGGTGATGAACCTATCGAAAATCAATACCTTATTGCTGCATGGAGATGGTGATGTGGCATTACAAAAACTTGGTTATTATGAACAGGGAAAGAATGAAACAGCCGCTGGTATCAGTCTTTTTTGTGAGGCGAGTGATGGAATACGATCTGGTTTTATACGTGGCACCGGCGTTTCCAGCATTAAAATCGGCCGACCAGTAGCGCTTATGAGCACATTTATTGCTAGTACCGGCACAAAAATGGCACCAATGCTACAACGTTTACATGAAACACCTTTTCAAGATGGCGTGTTTGGGCGAATGTTTTATACCTGGTGTGAAAGTGTCACTGATTTACCGAAAGCACGGTCCTCGTCTTATACAAATATAGCCTCATTCTCTCATTTTGCATATGCTGTCGCTTGTCTCTTCGAACACGTTCTTCAATTTCGTTATTCTGCTCATCCAAATGATTTCAGTGATGCAAATGAAGAACGTAAGTGCATTGACAAGGCTGGACTTTTTTATTCGAGAAAAATTTCATTGCCATTCATGCTGTGCTGGTTTAGGTTTGGATTATGAAGAACGCTTGGTCCTTGAAAGAGAAAAACAAGGAGTTGACACGCCAGTGACGTATTCTAATATTTTAAACCACAAAGATACTCGATCTGATCGTGCTGATGGAAATGAAAACATGGATGAGAATAATTCATCTTTCAAACTTTTAAAAACCCTTCTTGATGATTGGTGGAAGTCTTCTAATTCCAGTGAACGCCATTTCAAATCGATTCGACGTAAAGTCATCTTAATGATGTCCAAATGCATTTGGTCGATGAAAATTATACGTATTATTTTTCAATTGATGAGCAAAATATTGAAAACGATCGATCAAAAACAAGGAGACCGAGCCGCATCCAGTTCTGCTTCAATGGATTTAGCATTTCAACATGCTATTCAGGCATCGATCAAGACGTATTTGTTCGATAACTGTCAACAAATTGAAAGCAACAAATGGATTATGTGGTCTGATAAAACCGATGTTATTATTGGCTACAACTGGTATTTACGGAAGATGCTGGTCACGGAAACGTTCTTATCACTCAAATCATTACCTGATATCATTGAAAATCGGTTGGGACGAAGAACTGTTGAAAAGTAAGCTTATCACCTATGTATGAGAGATTCTGGAGAGGATTTCAACTTCATCCGACTTTGTATGGTATTCGATAAGTGTCGAAATGAGTTTAAAGACTCTCTTAGACACCGTCGTCTTCATTGCGTGTGCAGTCAGAGCGAAAAAAGTCGTGCTATCCAATCGATCGCGCACATGGATAGAACGCAAGAGAGAGTGACTTCCTATTTCTCTTCTTTCGTTCTGTAAGACAATGCAAGAAGAAGTGGTGGGTGCGAGATTTAGAGTGCATACTGCATTTTCGATCTTTTTGAGGTACATGAGCGTTTTGAAATTTGTGGTGCTTCTGTAATCCTATATGATCTTTTCTTCTAGAGACCAACACGAAATCAAACTCGAGAAAGCTATGGTCAAGGTTATGAGTTTTTCAGTCGTCTTTTTCACACGCCGATACATGACGAGCAACAAGAACGGCGCTGGTTCCGGTCAATTTTGTCATATACACGACTTAAAACCTGATCAAATCCTGTCTCCATTGATTGACAGTGGTTTGCTTATCGGTGGGAGCTTTATTAAATGTGCACGACCTGGAAATGATGGTGTCAAATATGCATCCTTTTGCAAACAACTACCTTCAGTGATACAAACCAATCCACGAATAAGAAAAGCTTTTGAAGTAAATATTGAGCAACTTGTTAAAAACAGTTCGAATCTTTCATCGAAGTAGTTTCAAAACGCTTCATCTTGCGTTGAATCTAAGGCTAGCAAATCGAAAAGACGGACAAGGAATTTTTTACGATCAAAAAATTGAGAATGTAGATATTGTTAAAGGAAGAGTAACGATGATCCGACTTTTGAATCTTAGACAGACGTTAACAATTCGGATTTGTCTTCGCATCGTGGGATTTTGCACTCAAGTTCTGAGACAGAATGAGCAATATCTCTGATTTTTCATTACGAACTCCACTTTGATCCTGTTATTTATCCTTTTATTGTAGGATTTGGGTTTGAATATGACCGATTATGAAAACACATTTCAACACCAACGGCTGCCATTGAATGCCGAATTTACTGACGAAGCTATTGAATTTATACGAGCTACTGATGATTTCGCTCAGTATTATCATAATTATTATAAAGAAGGTGCTCGTTTTCAATCATTTCGAACAATGGTGGATGAACGAATTCGTCTTGGCCAAATCGTGGACATTCAAGGTTCGAATGATTCTAGATTTACTGAGTTGCAAGTTTCTTCATGCGTATTCTCTCTTTGTTTTCATTCCCATAGATAAAATGCTTTCAAGCAGTCAAATTTCAACAAATCCTTCTCAAAATGATCCAGCTCATGACAATCCTAGTCAGCTAAACATCAGCTCTTCGAGAATTCCAATTGTGAAATTAAACTCTACAAAACCAACAGCAAAAACCAACAATGTCGGAGCAAACTGCAAAATTACATCTTCCACAATAAAAATTCTATCTGGTAAGTGCTCGAATCTTTCAAAATTTTACTACATCTTTCTGCGACAACGTCTTTGTCTAATGAGATCAAAGATGCTCTCTTGCAAAGAAGCACTCAGGAAGCCATGGAATTCCTTCGAATCAGATCTGATTCTATCTTTGATCTTGATTCGTAGTCATTAGAATAGCTGAATGTATGGTTTTTTTTCACTTGCGACACCTCTGCTTAGATTGAATTCGATAAATATGAGAATATTTCGAATTTATCGACTTATATTTATAGATATTTCTTCTCTTAGATCGTCAGTCTCGAACAACTACTGATGAAGTTGTCGAGAACCATCTTCGAACGAATAACGTTGATATCGTTGATCGAATTATTCAAGATCAACTCATTGCATCATCAAGCAATTCAAATGAGAATGCCGCTGTGTTTCCACAATCATCAGAACCAAACGGTCATTCAAGTTCTTTTTATCGCGATGCTGTGGATGATTCTTCTCGTAAAGGTCAGTTTTTATTACGAATGGAAGAGGTTCTTTTTATTTTCGCGTCTGAATTAGGTTCAGATTTAACTTCCATCGCATCAGTGAATGATCGCCAACATGATGAGTCTTATTCGAGCCCATTCTTGTCGAAAACCACTTCGTTCTCGATTGATGGTAAATCCTCCTTTCGTTTGAGGGCTGGCTGCTTATGTCTCGCACTGTTCCATTGCTATGTATAAACCCATTCAGACCATTGATTTGAAAAATTTAACGAATTCAGTGGTAAAACATATACCGATTTATTCCATGTTCCTTTATTTAGATCTTCCTGACCAACGTTCTGCTCTCTCAATGACTACTGCTGTCTCTGAACATATCCTCGATGATCAACTCATCGATCCGGTGATAAACTCGAATGAAGAGAATGGATATACATCCATTGATTCGTCCAGATCAGATGGTAGGTTGCGAACATTTATTTGAGCTCAATCACGTGGCTATTCATCGATACTGACGTTTCTTTTTGTAGACGAACGACCGTCGTCCCACGAATCAGCAATTTCGATTGATAATTCATTTGGCAATGTTCCAAATAACATCGATTCACATCAAACACGTAAGTGGTGTTCAGAAAATCTTGTCTGTTACGCGAAGAGAGTACGAGAGACCGTGTTTTTTTCTTTTTCCTCTTTTGTTTTCTCAAAATGTAAAACGTAGAAGTATAGAGGAAGTTAATAACGAATCGATGTGTATTCTACCGTAATCAGAGGAAAATATATATTTCTCATCAAAACTTATATGTTCTTGAATGCTTCTGAGTAGCGACTAGAACAAACTGAGAGCAGTAGATTGTTCCTTCGAGGAAAGACTCTTCATCTCGCCGGATTCGTAACTACTTTCATCAATGAATTGAAGCTGATTTAGTTGATTTCTCATCCTTATGAGAATCTTTTTCTTAGGTTCCATCGACAACAAGCATCAAGAGAAGAGAAAAAAAGGTCGTCCAAGTTCAAATAATTCTACATCTCAAAAGCTGTCGACAGAAGGTATATGTATGGACTTGTTTTTTCCAACTAAATCGAAGAAAAAGCTGAGCTATGAATCGTTTTGATAAATTGATTAGTTCGAAGACGTTCCATGTGTGTGCTCGAAAAAGTATTGATGTCTGTATATATTCATTAGATGTTGACAATCTATTGCTTAGTCCACAATCATTTGGTTCTGTTTGGAAATCAATCCTGATTAAACGTCAGTTTCTACTTGGAACATCGACTGATTTATTTCGTATGATTCCCTGCAAATTATTCGATGAAAAATCACGATTCAAAGTGATTGATTTTCTCCTCCATAAGAAGCTTTTAGTACAAGCCGATTGGTTCTGTGATTCGAAAGGAAATTCAATACAAGGTTACTTAAAAGGTAGTCCGGCTGATCCTGATGTATCAATGGCCTTAGCTGATGTTGGTATCGACATCGAAGAATACAAACGTTGTTTAAAATCTGTACACGATGGCAAACGTATTCTAGATGGGAAAATTATGAACCAATCTTATTTATTCAGTATTCGTTTACAACGACACATACAACATGATCAGTGGTTCAGTCAAAACATCAGCATTGATGAGAGATTTTTATTCGTTGAAAAACGATTACTACAAACGATTTCAAATTTCCGTAAAAATTCGTTTCCTTTTGAAATTTAACGCTTGTTCTCTTGTTCTCTTTTTAAGAAACGGATGAATTTCGAAAACAGAAAAAAGAAAAAGTTGCCAAAAAACTTACGAACAAACGCAAAAGAACCGACGAATTGCAAAAAGAAACCTTGCTCATCTGTGGTACCGATCTAGGAGCCAAGCGAAAACGTAAGCCGAAGATGCGAGACGATTGAAAGTCGTTTATTTTATTTTTACTCACAATTACTTCTTTGTTGTTGTTTTTTCTTCTTAATCATTGATATCTTCTTTTTATTTGAATAATTCCTTTTCTTGTTGTGTGTATTAACAGTTTCTTATTGATGCTGTGAAAATTCTTTTGAATCTCTCTTCAAACTTCGCGATAAGTTTGTCTTTCTTCGTCTTCATTTTGCATATATATGGAATATCTTCACACACTTCACGAAATTGCCAAGAACTCATGAAGTCGTTTTTCTTCGTATTCAGTTTCTCCTAAAGGATAGATGGTTTCTTTTCTAATCCGTCTACGTTTCCCTTTTATTCATGTACTGCATTTGTGAAATCTTTTGCTTTTCGTGAATCTTTTCGACGACTATCTATGATTGTATTTTCTTCTTCATCCTTTTTCTTTGTACATCCTTTGTATGAAAAGGCTGTACTTTTTCGAAATCAATCTTATAACTTTTAGAAATACTTTTTTTCCCAAACGTTTTGGTAATCTTTCATAAATGTGTAGATAGTGTGTGATTTCATCACGTTTTTGTTATCCAATATGACTCTTATCAGCTATAGGTGATCGATAAAAAATAAATTTGACATCTATAGAAAGAGATCTTTTTCTAAAAGCTTTATCGAGAATTCCACAGTAAAAGGAATAGTGAGATGATTGGAAAGCTCGAGATATCAACGGCATCTCAAGGCAATGACTAATCATCTATAAGCATTCAAGATCACATCTACAGATCAGAATGTTGTTTATGCTATCTCATTGCTACGAAATCTTTTTTCTTTTGTAAAGATGAACTTTTCGAGAATGTCCAGTATTTTCAAATGGTGATCAAACTTTTTTTTGCATTTAGATACAAAGTGCTGAAGAGAGTACGCTTTCTTCAATTAACCTAAAGATGAACTTTGATGGAGAATATTATTTTCTCCTGAGCGACGAAGAAGACAAAAACAATCTCTCAGTTTTATGCGCTTGCTATCTTGCATCTATAAGACTTTCTTATCCAAACATCGAATATGGAAAACTGTTTGATTCTAGATGTCGAAATTTGAGTCAATATTCCATCGCTTGATATTGGCATTCCCTGATGAAAGCAGGAGATCAATCAAAGCAGCGGCAATCATCTTGAATATCGGACGTTTGATGCCACCAAGTTATGTTTATCCATTACCTCCGTTGAGCACAAGTGAAGAACGTTTGGAGTTTATACGATTCATTTTGAAAAAGGAAGTTGGTTTTGATTATACCTGTAATGAAATTTTGGGTGCTCATAACGTTCTGATGGGCGACCATGAAGTACAAGTGGAATTAAATTTTGATCTCGTTGCTGATAAATTATATAATTACTTGAATGAATACAAATATCTTCAACCTAATTCTGAATTCGCAAAGAATTTCACACCTCTTTTGCTTTTCCCTCATCGAACTGTTTGTACTCGGTGTAATTGTCATTTGAAGATTTTATTTCAATCCCGTGCGCAAGTCATTTATTGCACAAAAATTCAACCTTGTCTTCTATATAAAGCAGATTGTTACCAATGCCGAAAATCTTATCGAGTATCATCAGTTTATTTAATGGATGAAAAACAAACGGTTATAACAATAGAATCACAAAAATCAGATTATATACACTTTTCTGGATCGCTTATCTTCGCGAAAGAAATTCTAGTTATGTTCTCATCTGAATTAATATGCAACTATGCCACATTTGAAGGTTTTGCTTCCTCTGTCATCAAGACTATCTCAAGGATCAATCCAGATCATGAGGGTAGAATTGAGGTCGAAACTCTAGAACGTAATTTAGAAGCGGTATGGTTGTATTATGAATTGGCCAATTTTGTATTGATGACAAGTAAATCGACAGAGATCTCTTTTCCTTATGCAATGAGCGAAGGTCGAACGAAAGTCAAAGGTGAACCATCATCACGTGCAATATTCGTTGAAAGAAATATCAACTGGATTTATCATGTTTTTACTGTGTTCTGGTCTAATCATGAGAAAATATTTGGTAGTTGCAAATGTGGAAATTGTTCGCGGGTAATGGTGATCGATGGACATCAAAAACCGTAAGTATATCACGCAAACAGCACTAGCAGGATCTTTCAGAACTGTATGATGAATCTAACAATATGTACTACAATTTCTTACGCATCCTTACACCAATAAATCTTCACTGAACAAATTTTAGGCGTCGATTGGTGTGCAACTATGATAATGTATCAAGTATCATTAATGTGGAAGAACTAGGACCAATAAACAAAGGGTGTCCTTATCCGCCAAGAAGAAGAAAGTCGGCCATTGCAGAATCAAATGGTATGACTCTACCTGATTCACTCATTCACGTAGCTTTTTCTCAGAAAGGCCTTGTATAACTTTGAAAATATTCCGGGAAAATCGAAGAAATATCGTATAGAAATTCATCGTAAAAAATACACAAATCTTTTTGAAAACGTTTTCAATCGTAGCGAATATCATGCAAATTTCTATTCTTAGATGGTGAGTGGTATTACTGTGATCATCATCGAACCAAACACGGCGAAGAAACATCAATTGAAACGAAAATGTCGGACATCGAATTGACAAATTATCTGAAGTACTTAAAAGAACTTGACCGAGATGAAGCACAATGTAATGTCGGTCGAAATGATATGGAGGAGCGATTCGAGACAAAAAAGAGATCAATGGGATTTATTTCCTCTTTCTTGAATTGTGGAATCATAATTGGCTTTTCCGATGCTGTGAACCATGAAGGGCCTCGTAAAGTTACAGATCATTTATTAACAATGCTCAAACTTGGGGCGAAACTACCATCATTAGTCGTATATGATGCGGCCTGTCAACTGCATAAGTTCTGGGCTTTCAGATTTGGTACACAGTTTATGAAAAAAACAAAATATTCCCAACAGTTGATGGATATGAAACTAGTTACAGATAGGTTTCATAACACTGTACACACTTCTAAATTATGTAAAACTCAGTTTAATCCTGACTCTGAAGAAAATAAAAGTCTTTTTATCGGTGTCAATACGAGCATAGCTGAACAAACATTCTCCTACCTAACCAATTTCAAAACGACTTTACGAAGTTTTTCTTATCCAACATCAGCCCTATTTACAATCCTGTTATTCCATTTGAAGAATTGCGACAAGTTAAAGCAAGATCCCAGTCAACAAGGTCTTGTCATCGGAAGTCATTTAGAAGATGATATCAAAGATCGAACATCTTATGAAAGTTATTGTATTTTTGAGACGTTACTGATTGAAGAGAAAACCGAACAACAGAAGTTCGTCAGTGACGATGAGAACGATGAATAGGGTGATATTTCGAATGGCAAGCATCGAGGACACGTGATTGAAAAATTTTCAATCGCAAAATGACTCAGGTTCATTTTTTCTTCCCAATATGTTTCATTGAAAAATTGTTTTTGTTCAAAACTACTTAGACTAATAAAAACTTTCGATATATCTAACGAACCATTTAAACATTTTTCAAGAATAAATCAATGTTCTAGGAATACTGCATTCATTAACGTTTTCATCATCATTGACGTCCAGGGATATTCACTCATCACTACTCCAAGCTTTCATATGTCTCAAGTCTGACCTCACACATCATTTACGAATAACAACTTCGGCCATAGATCGATACATATAAGAAACTAACTAAAAAAAAAGCGTCACAAATACCGCTAAGTCCATCAAAACCACCAAGACCACCAAAACCACCAAGACCACNAGATAGTACTCTTCAGGGCTGTATATCTAAAATGAAAATGAAGAAAGAATAATGACGATTATTATTAGTAAATATGGAACTGCAGAAAACAACAGGCAATAAAGCAAAACGAAAAGAGTAGCAGCTATTTTATTAAGTTCATGACTTAGTGATTGTTCATGCGAATGTTTGTCTTTATCGATTCTAAAAGATAATAAACAGATCAAAAGTAGCATGGTTGTCTGGAAAGAAACTAATTGACTTTAACCTACTGATCAATATGATACTCGTTCTTGTAGTCCTTCACCTGTTGACGAGTCCATTTCTCGTCGATTGCATCTTGAGAGTTTGGATATAGATAAGCAAACAATAAAGTTATTATATGAAATATCGAGATATTCATTGAATGTGTATGCCAAGGCCAATGCGAGAGGCCATTTATCAGTTGAGTTTCTTTTCGGTCGATGAGAACATGAACATAATGGCCCATCAATATCATTGTAATTAACTATTTGAGTACAGTCTTCAATATGGCTAAACGTCTTATTGTACGATGATTTAAAAGCTTCTTCAACGTAAAATTAACTCGCAACAATCGATTGATTTCAGTAAATAATGTCGCATATTGTGGAGTGATATCTACGATAAGAATGAATGATTAAAAATCTCGTACAAATTCTATATGGATTGACAATCTATTTTTTGTTAAAAGATCATGAACAACAATTGTAAATTTGTTTGTTTCTGTAACTTCAGCGATGATTTCATCTACCATTGTAAAAGATGTTCTTTCATCAATACGAAAGGTTGTGAAAGGTAGCAGCGGTATGAACTTTGGTAAATCGTATATTTATTGAATTGTTGAGATGGTACAGTCGAAGAAATTGAATAGCTGATATGGTTTTTCGTTGTTGATAAAAGTTCATTACCGTAAATAATAGAATGTCAAGTAGCATTAATAGTAATGAATATAAAATAAGATCTAGCCGTTCCATAAATGTTAATCTACAGTTCATATATGAGAACAGAGAATGAAATAAATGACTGATCACCATAGGTTCAATATGAAAGGGAAAAAAAGAGAGAGGTTCAT